TTTGAAGGAAATAGCGGCTCCGGTCTAAAAAACCGAGATTAACATCCATGGGGATCCGTTGCACTGACCACGTTCCCCTGGCAAGAACTGTTGGGAGGCATTGCTTTCTGTGCAGTCCTGGTCGTATCAAAGGAACGTGGGTCATTAGTTCTTCCCAGAATTTCCTGTTTTGTTTTTGTTACATATTTCTACTTTTTATACATATATGTAATATAAATGTATTTTCAGAGTGGAAAAACGCAAAAAAGTAAAGGAACGACTTCAGGAAATAGAAGATCCACCTGATGTATTAGCAGAAAAGTGTCATAAATTAGCCGAAGCTATAGCAAATTCTACAAATTTGGTGGTGTATACAGGGGCAGGAGTTAGCACTGCAGCATGCATTCCGGACTATAGGGGAACTAATGGCATTTGGACTCTACTGCAGCAAGGGAAGGATATTGGGTGAGTTCAGATTGGAACAGTAAATTTGGTGACTGTTATTCCAAACATTATTCATTGCCTTGAGTTCTCTCCACTTGCAGTGTGTCTTTAGAATCTGAACTTGAAGTGTGTTATTAATAGTAATGTTTGTTGTTACCATTTGGGCCTGATTGATGTCTCATTTAAACTTTTAAATTTAATAAAAATATGTCATTTGTTCTGTTTGATGGACTCTATCACTTTTGCAAGTGATTGCTTTAGAAACCAGATTTATTTTTATTGTGTAATTTCTGTTTTCTATCTGGAGGTTGGTAGAATACTGCAGCCTTGCAAGTTGTAGAAGGCAACGGGAAGGTAACGTGGTTCCTGGGGATTAAACTGGGACACTATGTCACTGGGGGACATAAATACAGAAATCTGGTCATCCAGATTGGGGGGTTGGACGCAAGGCTGACAACCTTACCGCCATCTTTGAGCTGATTGTCTAGAAAATGTGGGAGCTTCAACATCTCACAACCCTATGGGCCTTCACGGCCTGGTACAGGGATAGCTTTACTTACTTTACTGATGCTTTGGTAGGATTCATTTTCTCAGTATACTGTTCATAAAGGAGCTGGGATAGCGCAGTCGGTATAGTGACTGCCTGCAGGCTGGATGACTGAGGGGTCAGAGTTCAAGTCCCAGTATGGTCAAGGATTTTCACTTCTCCACGTTGTCCAGACCGAATCTGGAGTCCACCCAACGTCCTATACAATGGGTACCAAGAGTTAAAGTGGCAGGGGTGTGAAGCTGACCGCTCACCTCCAGCTATTGCCAAGGTCAAGAAAATGTGGATCTATACATCCACTCCCCCATACCTCTTTATGGTGTAGTGTTTAATTAGTTAAGCACAGGGGTAACTTTACCAACCTTACCTCTACTGTTCATATGAAATTAAGATACAAGGTATCTTGCTTGCTAATGTTGACTACTTGTTTTTAAAACCCTGGCATGTTTTTGTCGTATGAGAACATCATCTGAGGGATGTGCCTAATGAAAAAAAAACTGCAAGTCACATATATAAAACTAAAGAATTATCATTGTCATATACTACATCATGAGATTGGCAGGGCATGTAGCATACATGGAAGCGAACAAGGCGTGCATACAGGATTTTGATAAGAAAGCCTGAAGGAAAAAGACCACTTGGAAGAACTAGATGTACATGGGAAGATAACATTAAAGAGTATCTTAGAGTAAGGGAGTATGGACTTGTCTGGCTGAGGATAGAGACCACTGGTGGGTTTCTGTGAACATGGTAATTAAAATTTGGGTTCCATGAAATTCTGAGTCTGCTGATTGGCTAAATAACTACTGACTTCTCAAGAAATACTTGGTTCTATGCAGTTAAATGGTTGGTTGTATGGATGATTGGTTAGTTAGTGAGTCAGTCAGCCTGTCATATACTACATTTTCCTCTGCTAAATTCAGGCGTGGAACTTTTTACAGGGACCTTGAAACATAGCACCAGTTGTCATGGTTCTGCTCTTAGGAACGTGGTTATTTCTGTGCCTAATCTGTAGCTAGGCATTATTGGATTTATGAAGGTGAGAAGGCTTGAATGGGCTGAACACATAATACGTGCCAGCAAGAATAGAACCATCAAGAAAATGCTTAATACTAAACCAGAAGGAAATAGGAGAGTGGGAAGACCAAGGTTAAGATGGGAAGAATGTGTGTGGCAGGACATAAGAATTTTGGGTGTAAAGAACTGGAGGAATGTAGCATCTAATAGAGAACGATGGCAAGCAATCCTGAGGAAGGCCAGGGCTCACAAAGGGCTGTCGTGCCAGTGATGATGATGATGAATCTGTAGCTTGCATTAGCAGTTTTATCGTTTCTTTTCAGCCTTCATGACTTGACCCAGGCTGAACCCACACTCACTCATATGGCACTGTGGCAGCTGTACAAGGCAGGGATGCTGAAACACGTTGTGTCTCAGAACTGTGATGGTCTCCATCTTCGCAGCGGCCTGCCAAAAAGGGCGTTGTCAGAAGTTCATGGAAATATGTATATTGAGGTAAATATTAGAGCACGTCCATTTATTTAACCATTTAATGACAATCGTCATAGTCAAATCAAGTCATCAAGTCATTCACAGACACTTCCAATGACATATAGCACATATTCCACTTCTTTTCGCAAACATTCAGGAAGTACCTATATATGTATGTTTCAGTCCTGATGAGTCAGTAAACCAAGAAATACTCAACAGTCAAAGGGCTATTCATATTGCTGTTGTAACATATTTACCTTATAATGGTGTGTAGATATTCAAATGCATAATATGTACATTTCTAAATCTAAAGTGTGCTGTATTATAATGTATAATGTTGTATGTGGTGATTGCATTATGTGGATAACAGAATTAGAGAGTCGCGTACTGTGGAACATGAAACATTTTAAAATTATATCCAGTTATCATGCCCAGAGTTGAAACTGTATGTGCTACATTCATTTTCCAGGTGTGCTGTCAATGTAAGCCTACCCGTGAGTACTGGCGTCTGTTTGATGTGACAGAGCACACGGCCCGTTTCAGTCATCGCACAATGAGACGTTGTTATTCGTGCATGGGCCCTTTAGTAGACACAATTGTACACTTTGGAGAACGTGGGAAATTACATTGGCCCCTGAATTGGTCCACAGCTTGTGAGGCAGCGGACAAAGCTGATGTCATTCTTTGTATTGGCTCCAGTCTTAAGGTGTGTTTAGTATACATGTGGTCAGCATGTCGCTTCTAAATGTCACAGATCATGAAATTACCTGGGAATATGGGAGCTAATAGGAGGGATAGGACAGGGTAAGCCAGGCATCTGCTCACTCCCTTCTAAGATATTTGGAAAGAAATTGATTTGAAGAAAAGAAAGAAATATACTGAATAATAAGAATAAAATTTTAAGGTATGTTTAAAAAAATATCCTCCTCTCCAGAATACTGCAAGGTGATCAGTAAAATAGCTTTAAATAATTTAAATGCAACTAGAAATATTATATTGTCATGTGTTTCCTAGACAACACAACAGGAAATTGTGTGGGTCTCAGATTTGGACAAATATTTATTGGACAATTACTCTGTACACTCACAAGTACAATTGTTCACACTTATAACGTCTTTGGACATTTCCTCTTCAATGTTACAACACTCTCGCACAGCTAATCTCAGTGCAGTGTCTTCTGCTCTGCTCGGAGCTCAGCCATCCTTAGCTCTCGTCAAATACGAACTTGCTTCTGCTCTTGTTGGATATGAACTGTTATATCCTGCTTACGGGCTGAATGGGGAACACCTTGTCGAAGGGTTAATTTTGCTCGCTGCTAGACAACGAATCTCTTGTTGCTGCAGGAATACATTTCATTACAAATAATGGTGGAAACCCCACTGCTAGACTTTCATCTCCGTGGGCAATGATTTCCTAGTCATTTCTGCCTAGGAATTGCTAGGTGTTGATCAGTGATGGACGTCTTATCATCCGGCCTTCCTGGCAGCACGTCACAATATTTTAATGTCGTGTCTGTGTGTGTGTATGAGTCAAATACCTGATGGTGACTCAATGAGCCAAAACATGTCGTAAGAAACAATGAATCTGTGGTGTATCCATCCTGATATTGCGGTGACGGAATAACATAAGTACAGGATAAATGTAAGTTTATAAGCAATTTTTTCTGGCTGTCTCGCCTTGGAAAAGACCATTTGGAAGGGAAGATTTTAACACTTCTGTACTAGGATGCTGGTGGCTGGATTATAATTTGCGAGGTAGTGGTATTAGTGTTAAAGCATGCACTGTCCTGTCCCCTTGACTACACATATATTCTGTTACAGTGGTGGACCTGCCCATAAAGATTAAGGGAGCAGAAAGGCCATTACTGTGATCAGAAAAGTCCACTGTTGGTGCCAATCTTAACGAACTCAGTCCATTCACTCCTTCATAGTCCATTATACCAAAATCCATTTTAATATTATTCTCCATTTGTTGGTTTATTGCATAATTTCTTTTATTTCATCTTTTCCCATCCCTTGTGCTTGCGTTGTTCCCACTGAGGGGTGTGTATCAGGGGACAAAGACTGAAAATATGTTAGAAAACCTCCCCCCCTACTTTTCTTCCATTGTATATCGTGTTATGAATTATGTTCTCTAACAGGTATTGAAGAAATACCCTTGGTTATGGGGGATGGATAAACCAGCAAGAAAAAGGCCTAAATTATACATTGTAAATCTGCAGTGGACACCAAAAGATGATCAGGCAGTTTTGAAGATCAGTGGTAGGTAGCATAATTAACTAATTTCATACTGAAGGGGTCTTCATCTGCTCAAAGTATTCTTTTATGGAAACCAAAGATTTATTTCCATGTTCATAAGATTCTACTATTGGGCTCTATCCTGAGCCAGATTAATGCAGTGAAAATTCTCACACCAAATTTCTTAAAGATTAATTCTAATATTATTCTCCCAGCTATGCCCAGGTGTTTGGTTTGTTTTCCTTTTGGATTTTGTGACCAAAAATTTGTAGCATTATTAGTAGATATTAAATAATGATTGGCTGAATTTTTAAAAATTCAGCAGAAGACGATGCTTTCCAGTTAGCATTCTACTGATGCTCCTCCATTTGGAGGAACCTTTACACTTCTGTTTTTGACAGATTACTCAGCAATATGAAGATAATGACTTATTGGAAGGCTTAACTGGACTTGAAGAATGCTGTCTTCTTGGATGTGGCGCTTTTTAGATCTTGTGTGAACCGATGTTTCGGAAGAAGATCTACATGGCACCACATCCCAGTAGACAGCGTTCTTCATAGTCACCACCGTGAAAACCTCAAATCTTAATTGAACTTGTTTTTTTTTTGGTAGGAAAATGCGATGAAGTAATGCAGCAGGTGATGTCCCGTATGAACTTGGAAATTCCTAAGTACATTCGAAGCAGTGATCCAATATTCAACCATGCTACATTTCTTCACCCAGCCGAGGTGCATACGGCTACACAGCCATTGCTCAGGCAGCCTCTAGAAGCCATGCAGAGTGAGTTGAGAGCTTTGAGCAAGTGCACAGGCCACAGACTGCTCCATAATGGGGTGAAACTTGAGGGTAGTGAAGTAAGTGGTAGTTGTAGTGGAAGTAGCCATGAAGTTGAAATTGGTGTTCACAAGATGGAAGATTTTTCATCTCAGGAAATGCACATACTCAAGACAAACAGTGGTAATTTTAATTTTACGAATATAGACGCTTCATGTACGCCGTGCGATCAGGAAGTTTGTTCGTCAGCTGGAAATATTGAGGGCCCATCTGAGGTTTTGGAAGAGCAACGTCTGAAGAAAGTGTTTGAAAAGAACAGTACTGTATCATTATTAGTAGATGATAATTGGTTTCAGAACCAGTCAGAAAACACGGCACTAGATATTGGATCAGGCAGAAACTTTTGCTCAAATTTACCATGTAATGAAAGTGTTGCTAGTATAATTGGCCTAAAAATGGATTTGGATACAACTTTTGATGAAATTATAAATACAGATCAAGTTAATTGTGATCAGAATTCCCTCCAAGTTAAAGATATTATTGTAGCAAGCACATCGATGAACCGTCTTAAATGTAGTTGTTTAATAGGCAGCAATTCTCAGTCTAGGAAGAGTATTAACAGCACAGGTTGTGACAGAGGTACAAGTTCCATTACAGACACAAGTTACATCCTCAGCGCACATGCAGATCAGCCATCCCCACTTCACAGTGTTTCATCTTTATCTTTGCAGTCTTTGACTCAAATTCTTCAAATAGAGCACAACTATAGTAAGAGACCTATTGGTCATGGAAGAAACAGGGAGAGTCAGTGTACTCAGGAAAAGAATTCAAAGGTTAAGGCTATTGAAGGGTCTGTACTTTCACTTGAAAGTGGAATAGGTAATCCAGAATGTCAACGTTTGAAAACTAATAGGTTTGAACTGCAAGGAACAACATCTTCTTCACCTTTGCCCCATTCATCCTCACCACAGAATACAAGAAAACCTGGAAGCACACAGAAGCCTGAGGATGAAAAACAGATCTGTGATGATGAGTATGATTTAGCTGATACCACAATGTGTTCATTTTGCGAGTCAAATTACAGTTCAAATATATGCCTATTTTATCGTCATTGGACTGCCAAGTTTGAAAATATTTCACTGGGATCTCAAGTTTCTATCTGTGAATGCTGTGATATGGATGATGATGGTGATACTGATGATGTTGATCTTGAAACAAGTAGATCAGAAGGTGGTGATGTCCATGACATTGGCGAAGGTAAAGGAAACTATCACGCCAACAAGGTAAGTAAAGTTCCTAACATAAATCCAGGCTGGTACGGGAAAGGTTATCGCAAGCGTACTAAGAAGAAACGTCTGGAAAAATTGTGATCATTTCCTCTGGAATCCTAGATGGAAATAATTACTCTGGAATTTTAGTGAATTATGATATTATAGGGCTGTTCCACTTGTGGCTCTTAAACTGAAATTACAGGAAACAGAGTTCAAATAGTCCCCCCCCCCCCAGTTCAGTTAGTGTCATGGCTCTTCCCAGGTAACAGATATTCAGAGCATGAAGTTAACTGCTCACTTCCATCTAGAGACAAGGTTAAGAATGTGCAGAGCTTTACCTCCCAATCCCCCACTGCTCCTTTAGGGTGCTGTGCTTAGGCACAAAGGCAGCTTTTACTTCATTGTTACTACCATAACTGTACAAGAGAATAAAGTAATTATGTTGGCAGAGTTGTGAATAAAATAATTATGTTTTGTGTTCACTGGTGCAAATAAATTCCAGGATGAATTATGATCGTATGATTGCATACTTCCTCTTCTATGTCCCAGCTTCTCATCTCATTTGCTGCTGAGTAACTTTTTCAGTTGAAAAAATGTCATAAAATAATACAAAAATCTATCACATCATTTTGTATCATCTTATCCAACTTGGTCCTAGATGGAATGTCGCTTTTTCTTTTAAACATCTTGCATTCTATTTCAGGTCTTTGTTTGAATTTCATGGATCAAAATTAATTGAACTGGCTTGTACGGACGGTTTTATGGACTGACACAGTGGCCATGTGCACTCAAGAGTTGCATGATCTACCTCTGGCATTGTTTATAACGAATAATTTTTTTTTAAACAAATTTTAAATATTTCTGAAACCACAATCATAATATTTCAACGCTGTTTCAGAATAAAGTTTAACCATATCAACTACAGAAATCAAGAAGTGGAACAGTCCTGACTTCATATAATGCTCACATCAAAAAAGAAAAAGGCTAAATGTTTTATGCATGCTGTTAGTAATATTAACTTCATGCTTGCCATGTGTGGGTATCTTAATATAAGAACAAGGTAACATTGTACTTACTTGATTACGAGACCTACGCAGAGATCACAGCTTACACTTTTCATTTACATGTAAGCTGTATACCACAAGGTTGTAATAATAAGTCATTGAAGAGCAAATGTGCGTGTTGTAACTTAGACGTGCTGCCAGTATTCCCTAGGTCAGTGATTACAAACCATTCCTGCTATATATTACACTTATGGGATTAGATTCTAAAGGGCTCTGACAATGGTGGCTGATACACAGAATTACTGGGTTTTTGAGCTTTTCCCATTGTCCGGAATCACTGGACCAGTGATTGAGATTAGCTCTTTCTATGGGGCCCAACTGAGTAGGTGTCTTCCTTTCTCACCTGAAGACGGAAACAGATCCAGTTTCTGAAACATCGTGTCCTTTATTATCTAGAATTCTGGATGATGGAAAAACTCCAAAACCCAATAATACTTATGGGATTGTTTCATCTTAGTCCCTCGATCATTTACATATTCTTGTGTCTCCATGCTGTGCCCCTTTCGAAGTAGGATAAAATATTTGGTGTTTATAATAAAAAGCCAAGAAACTGCAAAATTTTGCTGCACATCTCTGTATTTTGTAAGTGATACAGTTCTGAGATAATCGCAGATAAAATCATGGACTCTGATAAACATATGTATATACTTCTTAATGAATTCTGTATTCTTCCATCTCTTCATACTGTTTACAGTTTCACTTACATTGCTATTGTCATTAATCTGACTTACAAAACGAATGGGCACCTTAAAAATACAGAAAGAAAGTGTAGAAATGTAACTCATACAGTAGTAGACCATGACGCATTTTGTAAGCCTTAAATCCTAAGAAGCTTGTGAAGATGCGTAAAGGGAAATTGTCTAAAGAAAATTTATGATGATGTACTTTTGGGAGCTCTGTAGTAAATAAATGAAACTAAAAATATCTAATTTAGGAGTTGGGATAGCTCAGTCTGTGTTGTGATGGGCTATGAGCTGGACAGCCCAGGTTCCATTCCTGGCAGTGCAAGATTTCTCTCTTCTCCACAGCATCCAGACTGACTCTGGGGCCCACCCAGCCTCATCTCCAATGGGTACCAGGTGCTTTATCCCCCAGGGTAAAGTGGCAAGGGCATGAAGCTGACAGGTCACCTCCATCTAATGTTGAGTTCAAGATAGATGGAGCTATACCTCCACTCCCCCATACATCTTCGTGGCATAGTGCTTAACTAATTAAACACAGGGACAACTTTACCTATGTACCAACTTTTGCAAATATGGAAGGATTATTACAAATTGTATTGTAGGAGGTAGGCATGAACCTGTGTAACATTACTGTCACCGGGTTCGTCTGTGTGTGTACACACATATTCTTGTTTTTCTTTATATACATCTTGCTTTTCCAGAACTCTTTCAGCTCCCGATAGTCCCCCACTTGCAGCAGTTCTACATGTCCCCTCAAAGTGGTAACTTATGTGTTGCTGTTTTTATTCATGTACATCCTGGACATGCTGATTAGAGAACTGGGGGTTTCATTCTGGGATGGGGCAGATATTTTCTCTTCTCCACCAGCTCTGGGCCTACCCAGCCTCCTGTCCAATGGTTCATGGGGCAGACAGCCAGGGCATAAATTTGACCACTTAACTCTATCTAGTATCAAAGTTAAGAATGTTTGCACCCATATTACCACTCTGCCATATATCTTCATCTCATGGTGCTTACTCGTAATGAAGCACAAGAACAACTTTATGTATGCAGCAAAAGGTTTATTTTTATGTCATCCTAGAGATTCCATCTTTTACTTTAAGCATTCTTCATCAGTTCCTATAACCATTGTTTCTCTGACTGCAACAATCATCTTTGTTAATCTTTTCTATGTAATGTAACAGCACATGCTGGGAGGTATGTTTATAGGAAAGCCAAGGTAACTCATTGTATTGTCTGTATTGACGTGCACTGCAACAGTAACCTCTAGATGAATGTTAAAGCTGTGATGCAGTTTAGTGTCATGCCTGTTATTTGTAGTATGGATAAGCTTTATACTCTTTTGTTATTTCCGTTTGTTTTAAATGAGGTCCATTACCTGCCCTATTACACAAGAACTTAATGCATATGAATATTTCAGCAACTTCATTAGTGTGCCCCTAATATTTATATTCTTTGATATACTATTCTTTATGATAAGTTACATGCAACTGATTTTGGAGTGAAGTGGATAATAATCACAATTAGCATTCAGATTGGATTATTATAGGGAATAAGATGGTCTGCTATTGTAAGTGGAAAAATAACATATATTGCTACATTGTTTTCATTTTTTTTATATTTTAATTTTTTAATATGTGTATTATTGTTGTGTAGTGGTTAGTGTGAAGGAATTTTATTCCAATAGTATTAATAAGATAATCTTTTTATATAGTTTTAATTATCACAAACAAAAATATAATTTGAACAAAATTATAAAATATTTTGTGGCTAGACTGGGAAATGCTATGATAGTCAGTTTTTGCAGTTTTTAATTTTTCATCAGGGCTTCCCAAGAGTGAATTTCAAAGGGATGTATACAATATTAAAGTGATGTGACTTTGGTGTTTAAGTCTAATGTTTCGGCCTCTCAGCAGCACTCAAATACTCGCATGTGAAATATAAAAATGTAAAAGTAAATTAAGATGATTCCTGAATGAATTTTAAACCTTTCTGTGAATGGCAAGCATTAGGATTAATGCCATTTATATTAAGAGATTAGAATATCCGCCATTTATTTTAAAATGCATGTCATAACAGCAAAAATTCTATGCTTTTTGGGGTTATTGGAACTTTGGTATACTGACAAAGAAACAGAACAAAACCGCTGTGGCGGCTAATGTGACAAATACTGTACTAATTCAGGTGCTTTGAAACAGACTTTCTTGTATAGTCAGTGACTTGTGCTTGTGTTTAAGTTTCTTGTGTGCTTAAAAATGAATCACAAAGGACCACCAAATTGGCAAAAGCTGTATATAGTTTCATACTGAGAGAATTAACCAGCAGTTATGTCATTAAAGGCATGAGCTCATATAAATAATATTTAAAAGCTCTACGAAAATACCCTGCATCTGTGTTACAAAGTTTAGTATCTATCCCCTTGAAGAGTTCTTTAAGTAACATCCGTCTTTTCCTTATGGGTATATCCAAATGGTTGCAGTGTTATCTTATTCTTAGATCATCTTGGGTGTAGGCAGATAATGATGAAATACCTTATTTTGTAAAAAAAAATCACCTCAGAAGAGCATAAAGCTCCTGTGTTTTGATGAGAGGATGAAATACTAATGCAGTCTGTGTAGGAACTTGAAAACAATTCATGCCTCAAAACATCTCAGAAGCATGATACAGCTGTTTGGACAGAGTGTCTGGCTATATCTTGGAGTTGATTAGCTAATAATGACTTAATGATGGATAGGGAAATAATTGCTGTTTGTTATTGTGTGGGATTTGTGGTGTATGAAATGGCACTGGAGAAGGTTTCTTCATAGTACTTCATTACTGCTGCCAGTTCTTATTTCACCAACTGCACTACATTTACTGATCATCCTGTCATCAATGCTATATAGTCAGTATCCAGTCACAAGAATGAGAATTGAAGTGGTGTTTCTTGAATGCAGAGCATGGAATGTTAATCTCTCAAGTATGACATTCAGTGGTAGTCTAATGTTTGTTGGTCCTTTGTGAGTGTTTCAAAACAAGCATGAATTTCTTGAATAGAATCATTAGTTTACAGAATAATATGTGCCAGTAAGCTGATTAGTTGTTAAAATTAATAGTATTGTTATGCAATGGAACAGATGTTATAGTTACTTTAAAGTAATGACATATTATTTTAGGTAACATATAAGTTCTATGTTCTGCACACATTCAGAATGTCTCAGTCATTGGGTTTATTGTGAAGTTCACTCAGGAATCACTGTGATCAACGAACAGTTTAACAGTATATGATAATGATTAAGTAAGCAGTGATTGTTGTGTCTTGTCAGATTTACAGTTTTGTTGTTAAAAGCTGTTACACGTACCTGGATCTTGAAGTAATGTTCTTCATTAACTACACTTTACAGATTTTCATGGCTTGTTTGTTATTCAATTGTATTCTAATGTGCATTTACATTTATGTGTGTTTATCTTACAGTTTAGTTTGGTTTAGATTACGAAATTTGCAGTGAAATTTGTCTTATCGTACATTCTGTGGTGCTTGGAACTTAGATAATAGACATTTTTTATTTTTTAATTGTATTTTTCTAACTGGGCTAAACTCTTGCCCATGGTTTAAGAGGAGCTCTACTGATGGTCCCAACAGCATAAGTTTTCATTTGTACCTTATTCATGTAAAGGTAGAAATAGAACTGATTTCCAAAATATAGTGGTTTTAATAAACTCAGTGATGGACAGAGTTCAAAATAATAGTTCTAAGCAATGTGTCACACCGTTGCCAGAAAGCTTTAATCTTAATTTATAATTTTTCCTGCTTTGTGTCTATGTATTATTTGTTTTTAGTTACTTTATGGTAACTTCATGTCTGTTTTGTCTATAATTCATCAACACTTGACAGAATTCTGACCTCCTTTGACCTTGCATCTTGGTATTTTCTCCCTTTATTAACGTTTATTTCTATAGCCAAAATCATTTCCCACTTTGAAATTATCATTCCATTTTGCTGTGCTATTATTCATTCTCAAGGCCTCTTGCTTCAGTTGCGTGTTCTACACATCTTCCCCATTTTTCCTTTAATACGCAATGTTTTCACCTTCTCGGAATAATGTAGGTACACATTTTCATCATCTGCTTCAGGCCAAAAACATTATCATTTTAAACCATGTTGTTTGAATTTTATGATGGCTTCTTTTACTCTCATAACCTGTCAGATATCTCTATTCCTAATATGATGAAGTAAGGTATTTTGGAATTTCAGTGCCAACATTAAATTTTGACCATGCCTTAGCTCAGGCAGTTAGTTTCTGGCTTCCCACTGCATTGGTTCAGGTTCGATCCCAGGTCAGGTTATGTGGGGTTTGTGGTGTCCAAATTGCACTGGGGCAGATTTTCTCCGAGTACTTGGTTTCTGATGCCAGTTCTTATTCCACTAACTGCTCCACATTCATTAATCATCGTGTCATTACTGCTATATAGTTTTTATACTGACATCAACATTAAATGGCCATTGAGCTAACCAGTATTTGAATTTCATTCAACCAATGTTTAATTCTGAGAGCTGTGAGCTTGTTTTCATCTCTTTACATTCATGCTACTAATCCAGAAGT